GTTCATTAAATAGGTTCAGTGAATGGTGAAAGTGATGCAATATTGGCAAAAGGCCTCGCGGTTGAGAAAAAAAAATTCCATTTATCTCATTAATGTCCTTTAAACCCATTTAAATCCCGTACCATTATTCATTCTTTACTCTACAAACAACAACCTTTTTTTTTTTTTTTTTTTATGCCTATTAGCTTAGACTTCAAGATTAACGTTGTAAATCTTATGTTTTCCTTTTTTTTTCTTTTGGATTTAAACACATGCAGTTCAGTTTATTTTTTTTATTAGTTAAATACTTAAAATTATTAATTTGGGGTCAGCGATAACCAATGACCAACATCGAATGCAGAATCAAAACTCGTTATTGGTGTTAAGAATTTACGAAGAATAAAAAAAATTTTAACATGAGAGAGGTTTCAAATTTTGGGGATTTTCTCATAGTTTTCTATTATAACAAAATTTATATTTTAATTATTCTTTCACCATCTCGCTTTTTTTTTTTTTTTTTGAGTGGGATAAATTTAAATTTGAGTGTTAAAAAAATTTTATGTGGCATAATAAATGTTATGTCAGAAAATTTTATTGATTTTATTCAATAAATTTATCAAATCACAAAAATCAAAGCATCTAAATGCAATTAGTACGATGATTAAATTTTTATAAATTATATTAAAAATATTAAAATTTAAAATTCATATAAATATAAGGATCGAGCATAATTTTATCAAATAAGATTTAAAGTAGATTTTATGACTTTCAGACAGTGAAGTTGGTGGTAAAAGAGGTGAAACTTCGAGTCTAAAAACTGAGACTCAGAGAATTCTAGGGAGATTTAAAAAATTTCAAATAAAAAAAAAATTTCTAGAGAATTGGAAAGAAAAAATTTTGAAATTTTACCACCAATGTACGATGTATAACGAAGACAATGGTCAATTTCTAGGTTTAAGGTGGGCCATTGCTTTTGATTGAATTTTTCGACGATTTGAATCTAGGTTTATCACTAAAAATTTGGAACTGTTTAAGTCTCCTTTCGATAACAAGTTTTCTTTGATGGAAAAATTCTGGAAAGAAGAAAACAACCAAGATGATGGAGAGGTAACGTTAAAAAATGAAGAAAAAAAAACTTTTGGGCTTCTATAACGAAACCCAAAACGCTGCATTTTAACTACCGCTGACCCAAGCATTGACTTGATCGATGACTCGAGATCTGCGAGACATGCATTAGACCCACAACTTGTCTCTAACTTGGACTAGATTTGCAGCCCGAGTACCTGGCCCAATCGTGACCTGACTAGTGCATTTGCTTTGGAGTTTTATTAGGTTTTGCTCAATTTAATGAGGTATAAATCTTTTTATAGTTATTTTATTATTTGTTCATTTATTTTTTAAATATATATCGAATTAATTAAAAGTTTTTTAAGATAATTATTAATTAAATTTATTTGTAAATGGTTTTGCTTTTGATAAAAACAATGATAATTTTAAATTTTTCTAAAAGAAATTTTGGAAAATAATTGAAAAAATATCAAATTTTCTAGTAAAATTGGTTAGTCTTGGCAAAAAAAAAAAAAAGTAAAATTGTTTAATAAAGTCTTGTCAAAATATTGGATGATTTTAAATTTTCTTTTTACATAGAAGATTTTGTTTAAATAGTCATGAAATTATATAGTTTAACAAAAGGAAATAAAATTAGCATGGGAAAATAAATTTGTGGAAATAAAATTATGTGCATTGTTTTTTTCTTGCATCATAAAAATTAAATTTGAATGTTCCAATGATAAAAGTTTAAGAAGCCCCAAATGGATGATTTTCTAAGAAATTTTGATGTGAGAAAATCATTTAAATTTTTTTCTAAAATGATAGAAAATTTAGATAAATTTTTAATATGAAAATAAAAAATAGAAAAATTAAAATAAAAAATAGATAATTAAATAATTAAATAATTAGAGATTAGAAAATAATTTTATATAAAATAATTAATAAATCCAACAAATAAGCCTATTCAAAAAAAATTAATGTGTTTTTTTTAATACTGTTGCGGTGAAATTTTTATTTTAAATTCTAACATAATGTTGGATATCAAATGTTGTTGAAAACCTAAAAAATTTTAATATTTTAAATAATAAAACTTAATATAGAATAAAAGATCATTTTAATTAAAAAATTTTTAAAATAATATAAAATTAATTAATATTATTTTAGGATGGACATTGTAGAATATTGATACATTTTTCACATATAACCGTATTCTCAAATATAATTCTATTACATAAAATTAATTAGTCAAGTTTAAAAAATTTCTTTTAAAAAGGGGATAAATTCAACTAGTTAATCAATTATATTTAACCATAAAAGATTAGTAATGACTTTTACTTTTTGGGTATAAAGATTGGGTTCTCAAATTTACACATTATGATACAGTAAATTACAATGTTTTATTTTATTTTATTTTTGTTTTTCAATAATTGTAAATTGCAATGTTAGCATTTGCCAAACACAGCTGAATACAAACCAAATGTATAAGTTGTGTTGGGCTATCAGGTCGACAATCTTAGGCCTGTTGTGCAGGCAAGCACTACACAACTGGTTAGGAACACATGTTTGCAGTAAGCCAGTTGGTACAGCTACCAAATATCCGCAAATAAACCTATGACTTCATTTGATAACCATGAAAATTATTTTTGGAAGTCATTTTTTGTGTTTTCTAATATTCGGAAGGGCAAAACGATCATGATAAACAGAAAATATTTTCAAATCAACAAAAAATTAAAGCACAATACGTTAAAATTGTTCTAGTCTCTTTTCAGACAAAAGATAATTTCCGGAAATCTCTCCAGACAAATCCACAACCCTTTCCCAAATTTAACTCTTTCTCACCAATCACCGTTAATTCTTCACTTTCTTTTTTCTTCTTCTTCCACTCCTTTGTTTTTGCACGTATTTGTCTTTTTTCTTCATGGGTAGGGACTAAAAAATTCTAGCTTCATTTTCCAGATTTTGTTTGAGTTTCAAAAATCTCACTTTGGCTTCATCTCCTTCAAAAACAAACACCCATAAGCTTCTCCAATCATTATGTCTTTTTCCTGAATTCTTTTCATCTTCTTTCATCTTTTTGCTTTGTTGTTTAATCTTTCTTCAGTTTTTCACCATAAAACCCATAAATCTCTCATAATTCTTCATCTTTTCGTTTTGTTCTTTTATCATTCTTCAAATTATTCACAAATAATTTTTTTTTACTTCAAAAACCAAAAAGCGGGCAACAAAGTCTACCCACAGTGAAAAAGACCTCTTAATTGAATTTTTATCAATTTGAAATGAGTATCATAAACTATTATGAATTTGTATTTCATAAAATTCTTCAAACAATAAAAAAATATTTTTTTCAAAATGGTTTTCCATAAAAAAATTATTTTACTTGTGAAAATTATTTTTAAATTATCAAACGAAGCCTGCGAGGCATTAACCATATTTGACTGCACTATCTTTTGTTTCTCAAAAATAACGAATATTTTTTCAAGGCGAAACTACCCTCGAAATGTCATAATATTATACTATGCTAAATTATTTTATTGAGTTATTTTTGAAAAAAAAAAATCTAAAAAAAGCATGTGCACCTAAAAATCTAAAATCAAAACCAAAATTTTTGAAAAAAAAAAAAAAAAAAAAGTAAAGCTTGACTCGACATAGATTGCATCATGGAATGCCATGTCAACGTTACGCTACCAAGGTCATGACGTTACATTTAGGCGGTCGTGCCAAGTGTCAACACAAATCGTTAGACACGTTAGACGATGATTGACATTCTGTAATGTCTACTCTAAAAAGAAAAAAATCTATTTATTTTTTTTAAATTAATTAAATTTTATTATTTTATATATTTTTGTGAGATTTATATTTTGTTAATCAAAATATTAGTGTCATGTTTTATACATGTATTTTAGCATGTTAAATTTTAAATTAATTAAAATGAATAATTATTTTTAATAATATTTTATTCATCAAATATGTATTATAAAATGATGTGATCTCGACTTCATATGATATAAAAATTAGATTGATTTGAGAATTTATTTACACTATGAAAATAGATCTATTGTAAAATTCATTATTCTTACAAAAGGGTTTATACATATACATGAATTAATTACACATTTAGCATCCAATTATAATTAAATTTTGACTTGATGCTTAGAGAAAAAATTTATAATTAGATATTTAAAATTTGATTTTATCTATCAATTTGCACAGAAAACTAATTTCATTAATCAAATTACTTATATACTAAAACTATTTAATTTAATAAAATTATGATGCACTCAAAGGTGTCAAAATATTTTTTTCCTAAAATTTTTAAATCATAAAAAGAATTAAAAAATTTTAAAATCAAAAAGATTAAGGAAAAAGAAAAATGAGGAAAAAGCAAGGGTTGGTTGGAATCGATCGTCTGATCCAAGGAGATTGATAGTCATTTGGCCTGCACTCGCCATTTTCTTTCGTCCTTTTTCACTTTCGCTCATTTTTTTCCCCCTTACTTCACGTTCTCTTTTATTTATTTATTTTTTTTTAATTTCAAAAATAATTTTTTTAAGAAAGAAAGATGTTTTTATATTTTAAAAAACTTATTTATAGTTTCAACAATATAAATTTTGAAAGTGAAAAAATAATAATATAATTTTAAATTAAAAATTTAGAATTTATTTAGATATAATAAAAAGTACAAAAATTTATTTTAAAAAAGTCATAGAACTTATTTAATATTTCAGCTTTACTTTTAATAAACAAAATTAAATTAAAAAAATAAAAAATAAAATGTAACGTGAAACCATTATTTCATATATCCTCACCCAATCAACAAATGACGGTGAACTAGGGATTGGTGAGCAGAGTTTTGAGAAACCATCTTTTCATATCATCCTTATTTTTCTAAAAGCGGGGAAGAACGTAGACGCCTCTCTCTAATACAATTTTTTATTTTAAAAAAATCAAATGATAATTCGCACACCGCAAGAATACTAAAATTCGAACAACAAAAATTATTACATTGACTTGAAATTTTGGATGAATGCCGGTCCAAATCTTATAAGCTACAAATAGACCATATCCTACTGTTATTCCAAGGATTTGTTTTTTAGGACAAAACAATAACAAGAACAACAGCATCAAAGCTTAGCAAAAACAGGTTTCCTTTTCTGGATTTGAGCAGAGATGGCCTCCGTTAGATCATCAGACAGAAGCATCGAAGAGTTCCAAGTTGCAACATAATCCAATCCTTGTTCCATACTCAACTCCCTGCTTCTTAGCAAAACAGCTTTTGTCCCTGCCACGGCTAGTGGAGATTTCCCAGCAATTCCTGCCATACCAATTTCACTCTCTTAAACTTAAGCCCACATATAAGATTTGAGGATTTAATAAAATTACACTAAGTAAGAATAAAAAGACAAACTTACCCTCTGCAATGGTAAGGACGCCTTCACTTAATTCTTCGTTTGACTCAAAAACTCGAGAAACCAGACCCAACTCCTTTGCCTCCTGACCCGAGAACCTCCGACCCGTCAACGCCAGCTCCATGGCGTTCCCAAACCCGACAATCCCAGGAAGCCTCTGCAGCGTTCCTAAATCCGCGGTGATAGCCAAATCGACTTCCTTCACAGAGAAAAACGCATCCTTCGTACAATACCTTACATCACAGGCCGTCACGATATCGATTCCCATGCCGATACATGCGCCGTGTATGGCAGCGATTACGGGCTTCCGGCATCGCTCGATGGCGGTAATTGCATCTTGCATGAACTTGATCTGTCTCAGTAATCGCTCCCCGGAGCGGCCGCGGTCTCCCGAGTAATTACTGGATAAGAATTTGAGGCTTTTGAAGTCGATGCCAGCGCAGAAGTGGTCGCCGGATCCAGATAGTAAGATGACAGCGACGTTAGGATTTTGGTCGAGCGCATTAAGAGCTTTTGGGAATTCGGTGTAGAAGTCGAATGAAATCGCGTTGCGCACAGATGGGCGGTTTAAAATTAGGTTAAAGACTCCCGTTGGTGATTTTTCGAGGATTTCCAAAGTTTCGTACTTGTCTCCCATTTTTTTTATTTTTCTAAGGAAATTGAAAGAAAAAGAAAAAGGAATTTATCAAAAATTGTTGATTTTTTTTAATTGAAAACTCCTAGCAAAATAGTTTATTAAAAGGCTGATATATGTTACGGGCTTCAGGTACCCATCTGGGCCATATCCGAAATCTTAATTATTTTGTCTTTTAGAACACCCCTTTATCGATCCGATTAAGATTTGATCTCAGTATCCGAACCGTAACCCAAATATGATAAATAAACCTGTTATTTACCCCAATCCGGTTTTCAACTAGAATTTATTTATTTATTTATTTTTTTTTTGAGAAGAAGAAATACAGTATTTTCAAATTCAACCAATCCTTAAAAACATATCATACTATAAACTCAAATTTGAGAATAATATAATATAAAATAGAGCAGAAAAACTGTTTAGATCTCTCGCATCTTGGAATTAAGGCATAGAGATTTTAAATATATATATATATAATATAATGTGCAACTGTAAAGAGACAAAGGTGAGAACAATCATTTAGAAAATAACAAGACTAAATATGAGAGAGAGTAGAAGAACGAGTTTGCTCAAATCCAACAAAAAAATAAAATAAAAAAAAAAGAAAGAAAAAAGCGTTCCGGCACGCAAATGAAATGGAGTCTTTTTCCTAGTCTTGAAAAACAAAACGTTGAGTTGGCCCTCAATAATTTATTTAGAAAATAAATTAAAATATATATATATATATATATGAAAGTTTTGCAATTCTGATGGTTAAACAAATTTAAATGACAAAAAATTTCGCCATTAAATATTTTGTCTAGAAAAGTGAAGCTGCAGCTTTTGGGCTTCCCGAGGGCGATAACAAAATGGAAATGAAAAACCAGACCTCCCGCGACTCGCTGAATTGAAAGCCATTTCACTAACCCCTAGACCACGATTCATATTTTACTTAGTTTTCCATTATTAAGTTTTCAACTAAAAGAAAGATTATGAACGTAAATATCCAATAAGACATAGTTTCTGGATCCCAATTTCAAGTTTCAGATTTAAATCTAACTCTGCTGATTTTTTGTATTGATTTCCTCTAATTACGTACTATAATATATATTAAAAATCATTTGATTATGATTCTAATCTATATTTGTAAAAAAAAAAAAAAAAAAAAAAGTAGGATTGACAAAATAACAGAGGTTAAAAGCTGGTGGGTGGGAAGGTGCAAATGACAGAAATAGGGAGACGTTGTGTACGGAAAGATGCTAGATTGATTGAAATTGAAATCGAAATGCTTCCACTTCAAACAAGGTTTCCTTAATTCTGCCATGAATAAATGTGGTTTGGAATTGACTAAAGTGTTGAGTTGAAACCAAAGAGAGAATGATACGTTGAGAGACGGAAAATGTATTTTGGCATTTGCAGAAATCAAGAATGGATATTGAAGACCTCACTGCTTGCACGTAACCGAGTGATTTGCGCATCTAGACATTTTAGATGCAGCTCCCCCTGTCCCTACTCCCTTTCAGCTCTCCACAAAAAAATTCTTCATTGCTCCTGTTTTAAGCATCCCTCTTAATTAATATCCGTCCTTCTTCACTCACCCTAAGCATCCAACAAAACCCATCAATCCAGACTTTTAGTTGGAATTTTCACACATTTGAACTTATACTTTATTACAAATTCCAATCTTCCTAATTAAAGCCATTGAAAAATGAGCTTTGTCTAATGGATAGCCAACCATGATTTTATTTTCTTTAGAGCGTAATGAAAAATCTATTACGAACAAATGCAACTTCATCTTCAATCAGAACAAAAACAAAACCCTTAGAGCAAACAGACGAAAATGCAACTACCACACCAATTAATGAAGGAAAATATCTTCTGTTGTATAGTTTTTCTTGTTAATTGCATCATAAGTTCATAATTTTTGTTCAATATTTCATTTTCGTTCGTAACCTTTAAAATATGATTTTTCTCTTTTACAAATTTTTAAAATTTTTTAACTTCATCCATTTGATCAATTATCATTAAAATTTAACAAAATATTTCATTCCAAAATTACATTTATATCTATTTAAATGTCCATCGTGATAAAAATTAGTTTTTTTTTTAATTTTTTGAGATAAAATATATGCCACATAAATATTTATGTAACATTAAAATGACATGTTTTATTAAAAAAAATTTTATTTTTTGAGATAAAATATATGCCACATAAATAAATTTAAAACACTTGTAAAAAGAATGTGATGCAAAAATTGAGTTTTAAAAGTGACAAAATTAATAATAAAATACTAGCCAAAGGTCATGGACGTGTGTATTTCACCCATATATAGTTTCTTATATTTAAAAATTAGAGTATGAAGGGATTTTAATTAATTAATAAATGATTAAATGATGGTTCTTTTACACAAATGATTTCAAATGCAGCAAAATTTTCCTACATTTGTTTCTCAAGTTTCTTGCTTTAAGCGTTTTACATTGATGATACATGCTCTTTCCGTAATCTATGACGACTTAAAAGCACGTGTTTCAACGCTGAACTTTTATATATAAATGAAATATAATAATGAATTGGAATTTTAGTTTAATCGTTTTATACAATAATTTTTAAAAAATAATATTTAATAAATTTAAAATTTAAATCTCTAAAATATTTTTATTTCGTATTGTAACTTTCTTTATACTTAAAAATAAAATAATATAAATAATCATTATTTTTAATTTATTTTGTAATCAATTAAATTTTTTCAAAGAGAAAATCTTATAAAAGGTCAATTGGTCGCAGTTTAGATCGCATACCATTTTGGGAGGTTAAGAATTTGAAAACTTATAATAGTAATATCTTCTTCAAATGAATTAAATAAATAAAAATAAGAAAGTCAAACGTAAATTAAAATTTTCAAAATTTCAAAAATATAAAAGAAATTCTTTAAAAATAATAATAAAAAGAAGGTGTTAAAGGTATTTATTGATCAAAATAGTATTGTAATCTTTTTCCATTATTAGATGCTACCAACATACAACCAGGGGAATTTTTGACAATCAAACCAAGCTAAAATGTTAAACCGACCTGAAATATTCGATGTCATATCAATTCGTCATGTCACTATTGTCCGCCATAAGTTTTTCGTTTTTTGTTTATAAATATAGACATCTATATACTATCATTCCACTCTATATTTTGCTATAATTCCTTATCTTCTTTCCTTTCTCTCCTTCTAACCTTCCCTATATTGATCTCTAATTTACACATCATAGTACAAACGTAAAGAATACTCTATACCTTTAAGATTATAACCCCACCCCAAGCTTTAAAGGTGCTCGATCTAGTTACCCCTAATCGATAGGCTACAGAAAAACAATCGAGCTACGATGAAGTAGAAGCTTCCTTGACCTTCAAGGAAGAAAAATAAGATATTCTAACTACTCATCATTATCCCAGCTACAATTTGACATATGCTACAACCCAAAAATCAAAATAAATTGACCTAGAATCCTAATCGAGCATAGACTTAAAGGTCCGAATGTAGGCCATGAAAAAGGAACTAAAAGGGAATACAGTCACTTTCAAAGACGAGCTTAAGTTTCTGGAGACCTCGCCATTTACTGAAGAGATTGATAGAGCCATGCTTTCAAAAAGTTTCAAGATGCCGATCTTGGATACTTATGATGGTACATTTGATCCTTTTGATCATTTAAAATTTTATAGGACTAATATGATGATATAGGGTGCAAACGAAATGCTCATATGTAAGGGGCTAACCACCATTTTCAAAGGGGCAGCTTGGTCCTAGTATAATAGTTTCAAGCTGAGGTCAATCATAACGTTCTAAGAACTTAACCATTCATTCCTTTATCATTTTGTAAGCAACCAAAGAACCAAGAGAACAACTTTAAGCCTAATGTCAATTTATCAAGGCTAAATGAGTATTTGAAAGACTATGTTATATATTTTAACACGAAAACTCTACTGATGAAGGATTTAAAGCAGACGACCATCATAGCCACCCTGACAAGTGAACTCAATGATAGAGAGTACCATCTTAAACTGACCTTGTCCCAAGAACCACCAAAGACGTTGGTTAACAGCTTATTTTTGGCTAAAAAATATATAAATGTCGAAGCTATAACGAGAAACAACCAAGGTGAAAGTAGCTCATCCTTCTCTTCGACGATCAGGGTAAGAGAGACTCATCTCTCCTTATCAGTTGTAAAAAAGTGAAAGATTTTTATGATCCTCCCCCAAAAGGGAAATGACATAAGGACAAGAGCCCTAACAAAGAAGAAAAATACACTGTACTGAATACCTTTCGAGAAAAAATTTTAATATAAATCGAGAAAAACCTAAAGCTCTGATAGCTGAAGCCACTAAGATAAAAACACAATGAGGGATTCAACCTAAAGATATGCCTTTCACAGAGACATAGGCCATAACATCGATGACTATATTGATCTAAAGAATGAAATTGAAGCTCTGATTAGGAAAGGCTAGTTAAAAAGATTTATGCACTGACGAAGATAAAGTCAGAATAGGTCTAATTATAGAAAATATCGTAAAAAACCTATAAAGAATAGGAAAGATAGACCAAAGGAAAACAAAAGAAAAAAAGTTCAAAGGGATAAGTAGAAATATGATAAAAGTTGACCCTCCGATAACCAACCTATTTTGGGGTAATCAACATGATCACTGAGAGAAGCTTTGCCTTACTAAGAGAAAATTTGATTAAGGCTTGGTTATGGGCATTGGTTCTTCGATAAAAAAAAAGGATTGGAAGAATGAGCCGATCTCTTTTAGCTTAGATGATTTAGAAAGAATTCAATATCCTCATGACTCTGCCATAGTAATCACTATTGTGGTTTACAATTATGTGGCTAAGATGATCTTATTTGATAACGGAAGCTCAATCGACGTCTTGTATTGTACCATCATAAAGAAAATAAGAATTAAAAAAGATCAATTACAGCCAAACACTACCATTTTAATTGAATTTGGGAATAAGCAAATGACTATTAAGAGGGCCATTAAACTACCAGTTTTCCTAGGAACCAAGCAATGAACAATCACATTTGTTATAGAGTTTCTAGTCATGGACATCCCATTATTGTACAACATGTATTAGGTCGATCTAGTTAGTCTATTATACAGCTTATAGGCTTAGCTCCCCATTTGAAAGTAAAGTTCCCAACACTTCATGGGTTGAAGAGATTAGGGGAGACCAGTTCACAGTATGACAATTGTATGTTACGTTGATAAAAGGAATGACTAGAAAGCATACTGATAGTTTGGCTGAGACTGAAAAAAGGGAAAAAGAGAATGAAGCAATAGAGACTAAAGAGAAACAAGAAAATAAGAGTGAGCACTTGTAAGAACAATACCTAAGTATTGATAAAAAATTATGAATGCTACTAAATACCAAAATCAATTAGGGATGATATAAGTAAGTGTTAAATTATAAGAAAAATTTTGTTTAATAAACAAAACATGAAGAAAGAACGTCAAACTTACCATTATCGAGTCCCAATATACCCAAAGCTAGGCTTAAGCTAATTAGTGATATGATATGAGGTGCTTGGCATCAATATACTATACCCTTTTTTTAAAAATCGAAAGTTCATTCTCAAAGAACGGACGTGATGAGCAGAAGACATATTAGGGTAGTTCTCGGAGTTAGCCTTATGTTTTAAATTCTTCATCACATCCTTGGGGATAACTCTTAAAAAGTAAAGAGTATAGATGGGGATTTCAGCTAATCATATAGTTTCGAGGAGGATTCCCTTTAACTTTTATTTTCAACCCTTCGTTGCTCTTCCTTAGACATCAAGTTTAGCTAGTAAGCCATTTTACTAATGTTTTGACTAGTAATGATCCATGGAACTAAGTCGTTGTCGTTGTGTCTGAGCCGACCCCCTAGGCTCTGTCCTATAACTACATTTACCCTCGAAACTAGCACTAACAAACATGATGAAAAGATACGTACCGAAGTGATAGAGGTGAGCGATTAGATAGAAAGAAATACTTTAAGATCGAAAAGAGCATAAAAGCTTTGAGGTTCGAAGATTCAAGTCGGTTCGAAAGCAAAAAAGCAAAAAGTAAAAAATGAAAGCCCCAACAATCCTTTATATAGTCACGTCTCAGAACAAATGATGACCCAAATCATGCCACATATTAGAATGCTATTGAAGAGCATTTTTTCATCTTCTTGGCTCTGGATTTTATCGCTTAAAAACTTTTCACCTCATTAAATGTGATCTTACCCATTTGAATAAACCAGACCAAATAAAGAGTCTAAGTCGAATCAGTTGGGTGAACCAACTTCTATATCAACCCAGGGTAAACATGGACCAAATTTTAAAAAATGCTAAGTTTCACCTTTGGCTGAACAAACCTCGCTAGCTCACCCAAAGTTCTTTCATCTTCACCTCGAGCCACCTAAGGTGAAGTCACTTTGGTAATCTTCAAGCAGATCATATACCTAACCTAAAAGATACACATAAGATCAAACTAACACCAGGTCGACACAAGCTAGGACCATCCAAAATTGAGTCAAACAACAAATGCGGGCCTTAAACGTTTACCTATCACATCTGCTTCATAAACATTTGACCTCAACAATAAGAGGTCGGATCTTAAATAATCTTTTGAAGCCTACATTCATAGAGATTAAGTCCACAAACATAAAAAAAAAAAAAAAGCTAATCACACACCAACAGTTTGATACTCAAATTGTTTGGTAGGGGAAGACAAAATGTTAAAAACATTTAACAGTCAAAAGGGCATTGTAGTCTTTCCTTCTTATTAGAGGTTACCAAGCGACAATCAGAGGTATTTTGGACATTTAGGCTGACCTGATATATTCGGTGCGACATCAGCTCAACCAAGTCACTATTGTCCCCTATAAATCCTTCATCTATTGCCTATAAATATGAGTATCCAAGTACTATCATTCCATTCAATATCTTGCTTCAATTTCCTATCTTTTTACATTTCTTTCCTTTTGACCTTTCTTGTACTAACATCTGACTTGTGCATTAGAGTGCAAATGTAAAAAACACTCATTGCCTTTACTTCTAACTGCTCTATTCTCTTTTTTATCTTTTTAAGAATACCTTCAAATTAGAGCTCGACACAAACAAAAGGAATATTTAATCTTTATGGATCCAGCATATGATTCTCATGTTGTTCCTTCCTGTATGAATTAGTATTACTTTGAATTCATGTTTACTATGGTCAAAACACGCATTTGACTAATGTGGACAGAGGACTCCAGAGTTCAAAGTGTGGAGAATTACTCTCAAATTAGTTATGAAATGTAACTAAAATATTATTTTCTTTTTTTAATTAAGCACTAATTAGTCATGTTTACCTTGCATAAAATGTTTCAATTTCGATCTTACGATGGCAGGGAGAGTCAAATAACGATAAAGGAACACAAGATAAAAAGTGAAAAAGCATTATGTTGGACCCAGCATTTGTAAGCTTTCCTCCCATGTTCCTTAAATGTTGATTTTTGCATGGATGATTAAATTAATGGGTTAATATCATTAAATGATCTATATAAATTATAATAAAATATTTAATGTGATATTTATTTTTAAAAATATTTAATATGATATATGAATTATGAATTTATTAATTAATATGATATTTATAGGATTGGTTACTTATCACGTGTCATCATTTGAAGTTATCAATACTAAAATAAACACCGCATTATTTAATATATTTATAATTCAAATACTACATTAAAATTTTTAAAATTTAAGTAACACATTAAATATTTTATTATAGTTTAAATCTATTTATCATACTAACCTTAAACTAATATATAATTTTAATGAGAAAAATTAAAAAAGAAAATACAATACATAATTGGGTTTTAAACCATTACTTATAGATTAATTAATTGATCTTATATTAATCATATATATATATATATATATGAAGAATCAATTGAAATTGTACCTATATGTGAAACTAGCTACTTATTATATATAATGAATTAGTCATTGATTATTATTGAAATTTATTAATGAATTACTAATTATTTTTTTGTTTATACAGCTTATTAATAAAATAACTTTCAATTTTCAGGTTTAGTTTAAGAAATAAAATGTTTTATATATATATATATATATATATATATTTAGTGGTGAACTTTACACTCTCCACTTGAAAACTGACAAATACGAAGGGTTAGTTGGACATAAAATTGATTTATTAATCTTAACTTTATGTAGTAGTTGTAGTAATCTTTATTGAAATGAGTTAAAGATATGATTAAAAAAATTAGGCAAAGGGGAAATGCGAAGATAAAAAGAAATTAGAAAACCAAAAAGGACAATTTGGACAAGCATGATATAAGCAGCTACCCACCACAATGCCAATAATGACGTGCTTGTCTTTATCTGCATTCCAATAATGACGAGCTGAACTGGCTTGAGCTTAGTGAATGAGGGGAAGGCAGCCACAAGTTGAGGCGATCGTGGACCAAAAGTTTTTCAAGAGTGGTTCGATCAAACTATAATATCTATCCCCTCTCTTGCTCACACAGTTCCCAGTTCAATTATAGGGGTTATGTATCTCCAAATCAAAAACAATAAATCATGCAAAATCAAGCAATAACTCCTATTATGATAAATATGAGAGAGAACCCCACGTTTGATGTCTACCCCTCCTTTGCATTTATGATCAATTTAGAACCCCACATTTTTCTTTTTTCCTTTTATAAAAATTGAAGTAGTCAGCCAGTGGCCATCAAACTTTCCTTGAGACGCAGGGAGAACCAAGCCGTTAATTTTCATGATTAATTAATTCAGTGAATGCACGACTCAATCTCTGAACCCCAACTCTTTTCTGTTCCATAAATTATGAGTAAGCCAAATGATAACGATAGTGCCTTTTTTTTTTTTATGTTAACTTTAATGGACGCAAAGATTTAAAGATCAGATCAGGCACTCAAAAAAGTTGAATGTCGAAAAATGATTCATTTCATTGCCAACCCAACCCCCCCCCCCCCCCCCAAAAAAAAAAAAATTGATTTCATTAAAAGGCTACAAAAATTAAAGAAAATCTTCAATTTGTCAGTACGAGTGAATAAGAGAGTGATTAAGAGGGCAATGAAGTGTGGGGTCTGGAAAGTTAAAGAGATGTAGCTGCTATCCTTAGCATTATTGGAATTGGGGAGAGGAATCAGATAGGGAAATCCCGAATGATTTAGTGAGTGATATATAAATATATCATAAACTACAAATTTTACACCAAAATATACAAGGCTTTTAGAAGAAAATCATGTAGCAGTCGAAAAATTCCAAGAAATTGAAAAAACATGTTGATTTCCGTTTACGTAGAACCACGAATCTGGCAAGCTTTCTGACATCCACCTAGCATTCCCAGACAAATTCCAACTGTGTCATACACACAAAGGAAGAATAACAACATCATTATTTGTTTGCAGCTAATATTTTTTGTCCTGTTTCATTTTCCTCCTCTCTCTCATCTAACCGCAAAAAAAAAAAAAGACTTGAAGGAGAAAAAAGTCAGATTCTCGTATGCCACACGAAACCTTTCCCATGCAAAAAAAACAAATTTAACAACGAACATAATTTTTTTTTCTTTTTCAGTGAGGGTTTTAGGGCTGAGGCGGATGAGCGTGTTCTTTTTTGTGTGTTTGTTTAGACTTTAGACTTAGAGTTAAGTTGTATCATCTTATTCACATCCTAAAGACAAACGGCTTCCAAGTTGTGTTTTCATTACTTCACGTGAATTGAGGCTTTTCGACGGACACCTTTGCGGTCTATCTGTAACGTAAATTGTGCCATCATACAAACTCTTGCTGACATCGTGCCACCCTTGTTCTTGGCTCGTGTCCCCCTCCCTTTCTCACTTTTATTAAAATTCAATTTAACTCTAAAGTGAAATACAGGTGTCCTTTTTTTTTTAATCTTTTCTACGTAAAAAAAAAATCAATATTAACTTTTTAAGTGAATTTTTTATAAATATTAATTTTTTATGATAATTGTAATGGACGATAGAATACTAGTACAATCAAACTAGAAAAAAAATTCAAACTGTGTTAAGAAATAAATATGATTTATAAACAAATATCTTAAATCATTTCGTACAAGCATTAGTATTTTTTTAAATGTTCACAGTAATGAATCAATTAATTGTCAATATTTTTGAAGCTCAACAAGAAATTTAAGAACATTATTGGAGTGAAAATACATATAAACCATAAATGGGAAGGGAATTTGGTTGATTGTCGATGGCAACTAGGTTGGAACGCTGGACACGATACTAAAGAGGCACGTGGGGTAAGGGGAATTTGACAAGGTTAAATGATTTTATACGAAGCTACCTTGCTACAAATGCTTCCACTTGTCATGCAATATAACGAGTTTAATACGCATACACTATGTGCTTGCATCACCATTCACCACCTTTTCCATAGCCCTCCGCCCATTTCCCATATAAAAACTCTCCCCTTCCCATCCTTTTAGTTCATGAGATACATAGAGCGTTTGGGTCTCCCAACAGAGTGTCTCTGAGAGCTAGGGTTCCCTTTCAGCCCCCTCTGCTTCTGCTTTTGAACAGAGACTTCGTTCAACTACTCCTCAAACTTCTCTTTGTTTGTTACAGAGAGATAGCCATAATGGGTGATCACCATTCCTGCGCAGTTGCATTTGGTATCTTAGGTAACATACCAAAATGCTCTTAACACACTCTTTTTTCTTCACTGCTATAACTCTTTTTTGACACATAGAACTGAAGTTTGAAGAGGGATAATCATCAGGCTGGTCATAAACAGCTTCGGGAGTGTTTTTCTTTTTTTTTTTTTTTTTTTTTCTTTATTTTGAGAGTCACTTTCGTCCTGTTCCAAGTTATTTCAGTTTTATTTAAGGGTGCTAGATCTTATCAGCACACTACCAATATATCACACAATTGTTTTTATCGTTCTTCACTTTAGTTTCTTTATTTGTTTTCTTCTTCATTCTTTCCTTTTGAGAGTTCATTTAAGCCTTTCCCCCACTGTGAGATTAATATATTTTTACACCATAGGTCTGGTTTAGGTTCGTCATTAAATTCTTTCTTCGTCCATACTAGACTTTATTTGAGGAGGTTCTAGTCATAATTTGGTTAAGTTACACAATTAAATAAAGACATACTATTTATGTTCGCTCTATTTGTTTTGAACAAATTAACTAGTTGTGTCCTTGTTAGAAGAACCTCCAATTTCACCCAAAGATATATTAATTAATGTTTAGTTATATATACTTTTTAACAAAAAACACTACAATACATATTATTTCGCTTTCAAATATTTAGTGTTGTCACCTAAACGATGATCCACCTTCCCAATCATATGAAATAATTCATTTATTTTGAAAACAGTACCGATGTATCAGCATGAATGCGTTTTTGGAAGATTTTTTTTAGTTGAACGGTGAAAACTTTATGAATATAAAAAAGTATACTTTTTACAGAACGATGAATAACCAATGAATTTGTTTGCAATTGATGACAGGTAACATCATCTCAGTCCTTGTATATCTCGCTCCAGTGTAAGCATCAATCCATTTTATATCTTCTTTTACATGATCACTCAAAATCAATGGTTTTGAAATATACCAACAAGACGAATAATAACCCTTTTTTTTTTTTTTTCCAAAAAATTTCAGACCAACGTTCCATCGAATTTACAAAAAGAAATCAACGGAGAGTTTCCAATCACTGCCCTACCAGGTGGCATTGTTCAGTTCCATGCTATGGCTGTATTACGCGTTGATTAAAAAAGATGCTTTCCTTCTCATCACCATCAACTCATTTGGATCTATTGTAGAGACTATATACATATCTATGTTCATAGCTTATGCATCAAAGAACAGCAGGGTAATTCACTCACCAAAATTAAGTCTTTTTATCAGACTATATTATTATTCTCTTATATATTTCTAATTTATGGAATTGCAGATGTGTGCTATGAAACTTTTTGTAGCTATGAACGTGGGGTTCTTCGCTTTAATTCTCATTCTCACACACTTTCTGGTGAAAAGTTCAATTCGCATCCAGGTTCTTGGTTGGATTTGTGTCGCCATCTCTGTATCTGTCTTTGCAGCACCCTTAAACATTGTGGTGAGTATTATATGTCCATTTTTGCACATTAATCTTCAACTTATTAATTACTTTTCTAACCATCTTTTTATGCTTTCCAGGCACGAGTCATTCGAACAAGAAGCGTTGAGTTCATGCCTTTCAACTTGTCATTTTTCCTCACATTGAGTGCAATAATGTGGTTTGCTTATGGACTATTTATTAAGGACCTCTGTGTAGCTGTAAGTAGTTGTTTTCTTTTCATGCGGGACACAGTTTTTTGTCTTTCACTTCACTTTGAGGCACTAATTGATTTTTTCTGATTTGTTTCCTTGTCAATCGACAGCTCCCGAATGTCCTAGGCTTCATCCTGGGGATGCTCCAGATGCTGCTATATGCAATTTTCAGAAACACTGAAAAGGTTGTAGAGGAGAAGAAGCTACCAGAACAAATGAAAACTATTGTTGTCCTTAGCACATTAGGCGCCTTTGAAGTTTATCCTGTAGATGTAGATATTCAATCTGATGATAACACTAACAATAAAAAAGAAGATAAGAAAGAGAATGAACAGGCAGGGAAGCCTGATAAAACTGATCAGAAAAGCTTGGAAGATTCTAGTGACTTCCACTCAAATGAGTGTCCAGTTTGAATAAACATTAAACTGTACCCAGTTATCATTTTGTTGAGAGTTCTGATGCCTGAAACTGCCTTCCTCATTTCTTTTCAATCCGTTCTTGTTTGCGTTCCATATCCACCCCGCACCCTAGCCTTTGTACACAGAACAATGAGCCAGGGGCTACTAAAAAAACGCAGACTATGTATTCTGCATATTTCAGTTTAATTATCTTTGTATGTCATTGATCCATTTACTTATTGTTTTGAAATACAACGATGACTATTTCGGATGACAATTATTCTCTCTTTGTTGATGATTGAACCGCAAAGTTGATTAAAACTACAGGGAAATGATTTCCCATTATTGGGTTCATCAAAATTGACATCCCAGGCTATGTGGCTCTCCCTTTAGGCTGGTTCGAATCATTTATTCATTCGAAACAAGACAGCTGGATGCAATAAATAGGAGACGTGAGAACGAGGAAACAGCTTTTCTTTTTTCCTTTTTGTTTTTCCAGCGGCCTGGTATGAGAAATTATTTTATGGTGCTAGAAATGAGCCCCCGGGGTTTAATTTTTTTTATTAATTAAAATAAATATCTTGAAATTAATTTATAGTTTATTTTAATTTTTTTGTTATTTTGATATAAATTTTAATTAAATTAAATTAAAAATAAATTTTACATTATCAATTTTTTTGTTGTAAAATTTATATAATTAAAAAGAAAAAATAAAGGTAAAACATTAAAAAAAAACATAAATAGAGATAACACGTGAACCAAATCGAAAATCATCAAATATAAATTATTTTTTTATTTCAATTTCATCATTTTTTATTGTAAAATTTATCTAATTAAAAAATAAAAACAAAAGACCTAAAAAAAAAACAAAATTAAGGTGTTGTATAAATACCTCAATTTTTTTTCATAAAGTTTTTCTAAATTAAAATAAAATAAAAAACAAAAACAAAAAACATAAAGTGCCAAATGAGACTAAAATAAAAGTTAAAATACGTAAAATTTATATAATGAACGGATGAATACATGAATTATATTTTAATTACATATAAATATAATGTTTTTATTAAATTAAGATATTAAATAATAATTTTTTAATATAATGTATATATCAAAATATAAAATAAATAAATAACTAAAAATAATTATTTATATATTTAAAGCAAGATGAAACATCATAAACTCATGTCCAACCTAACTCTAATTTAAAAAAAAAAAAATTGATCCAATTTTGAATTTTTTAAAAACCCACACATATTGGATTGGAGCAAATAAAAACTCATGAGATATAAATTGTTTTATTATTTATACATCCAATGACTTTTTTTTTAATAAATTTATCTAATTAAAAAAAGTCAAAACTTTTTTAAAATAATATAAGAAATGTGCCAAAACAATAGAAAATAAAGTCAAACGGGGATGCTACGTGAATTTGTTAAATTAAAGTATTATATAATAACTCCATTAAAGTATACATATATATATAAATATTAAATTAAATAAATAATAAAATATATATTTATATATATCCGAATAAATTAAAACACTTTAAACTCACATTCAATCTAACCTTGATTTTTGAAAAACATTTGATTCGATCCCAAATATAAACAAAAGCACCAACTAGATCTGGACAAATTAAAACCTATTGAATACATATTGTTTTATCATCCATGGTATTATTGACTTTTATCCTTAAAAATTTATTTATCAAGTTTTTTATTACAATATTTATCTAATTAAAAAAATAAAAAATAAAAAAAGAAATAGAATGCGATGTGGACATCCATTGCCTTTTTTTTTTTTTTTCAAAAATTTATCTAATGAAGAAAGAAAAGGAAAAATTAGAAAAGGAAAAAAGAAAGAAAGTTGAGTTGGCACGTGGTATTAACAATAACAAATTATTCTTGCAAAATTTATATCATAGATTTTTTAAAAGTAAAATCTAAAAAAAGCAAGGGCTAAAAAAATTAAATTCATGTCATGTAGACACCTCTGTTAATATATATATATATATATATATAGTTTACAAAAATATCTAATTTAAAAGAAAAGAAAAAAGTATGAAAAATATATATTTTTAATCAATAATACCATAGAGGTCTCATAAAAACTTTTTTTAAAATATTTATTAAATATAAAAAAATAGAAAATAAAATAAAATAAGCAAAAGACTTAACACATAATATTTAATAGGTCCCACAAAAATTTTAAAATATAAAAAAAGTATTAAATATAAAAAAGGAAAAAAAGGAAAACAACAAATAAAAAAATGGAAAGAAAAGAAAAAATATAAAAGAGGGCTTGACATGAGGTAACCAAAAGAGGTCTCCACTAATAAAAAATTTAAAATAAAATATATCTTTTCTATATTTAAAAATTTTATCAAAGTGACAGTTGTAATGTGAAAATACGCAAGATTTATATCTAAGATATGAGAAAATATTTCAAATGCTTTGGACATGTTCAAACTTCCACCTCTCTATCCAATGTTTCAAAGAGGGCTAAAATAATTTTTTTTTTTGAATTTTAACACTTTATTTAAATAAAATTTTAAAATTTTTATTACACAAATAAATCCTTAAATTTTAATTTAAGTTCAAATAAGTGTTTAACCTTTAATTTATATCGAAATAAGCTCTTAATTTTTAATTTATACTCTTAATATAAATCAATCCTTTACTTGAATTAAAGACTTACATGTAGAGTTATTTATCGGTTGAATTGGGTTTAGACAATATATGTATAATATTAACAGTTTATATGCTCACTTAGATTAGACCCGATCCAATATTTCAAGCTTCAAAATTCCTTTTATCTTAGCTCAAGTTGAAAAAATAAATCTCAAACTCACCAATTAAATTAAATTTATATAATAAAAATTTTAAAAATCATTTAAAAAAACAAAATATTAAAATACAAATATAAATCCCATGCCATGGATTTGAAAAGAAAATTATCAATTCTAGTACCCGTATGTACCAAGAATCAAATTTTGAGGGTGTTTTCACAATTAAAAATGACACTTCAACAATACTTTTGTTCTTTCATACCATAAAATTAAAAATAATAATGATTCAAAGATATTATAACTCATTCGTAAATAAGTTCTCACCATTAATCCATTTATAAGAATTTCCATTTGCCTACGGATCCAAACATATAAACTCAAAAGTCAAAATGACTTGGCCACAAAAAAAATGATTAAGCCTTATCATACTACAGAGGAACAAATGGAGATGCGAGGGAAAATCAGAAACCATGAAAAACCTGGCAAAATCAGCAGTTATATTTCAATAGCCAACATGAGAGAGCAAAGCAGCTGACTAACATAGCAACAGAAAAATGGTTGAAAATGATCTCAGTTGGTCTGGTAAAAAGTGCTTGTGTACCCAAGATATGACTACAACATACAGACAAAAGAAAAGTTCCGTACAGAAGGGACCCTAGAAGAGCAAGGATTACATTGACCCAGACGTCTTTACTCTCAAAATTTTATAAATACGTCTTGTTCTTCTCTTGCTCTCCTAGTTGATAATAATGTACATCCATTATGCTTTTCATCACCGTCATCATCATCGTCATCATTACTTCAATGAAAGGGTGTAAAGTAAAGAAAAGAGAAAAGAACCAAAGACTTGAAAAAACAAGGGGGTGGGGGGTGGGGAGTGGGATGTGGTTAAGAGCGCGTCAGCATCACAGTCCTCAAAGAGAGCACCACCTGTCTTCAGTTCAAAGGAAGGAAGAAAGCATTGCCTAACTTATTGGATGCAGAAGAAAGTTAGAAATGTTTCTTATAACCTCGTCAAGCGAAAAAAAGCTGGTAAACACTGATGGAAGATGGGGTGCACCACTTTAGGTGGGATGCTACCCATTAGACCCATCGAAACTACCCTGTGCACTTTGTCGCCTTTTTTCTCGCCAGTTCTCCCCCCACATCTTGGCCTCAGCTACAGCCCGTTCCCTATCCAAGTCCCTATTCAACATCCTGGCAGTTTCCCTGGGGGAGTCATCCTTCTCAGACCCTTCCAAATCCCACCTACGGCCAGATGTTCCTCCTTCATCATTCTTTGGCACCCTTCCTCTGTCATCTCTATGTCTTCTATCATCCTTTTCTCCAGAACCTCTGTAGCCATGCCCTGCTGCATTAGGATCATATGCCTGACTTGCCAAGTACGAGAGAGCAGTGACCACGTCCCCAATCAGAGGACGTGTGACAGCCTGCTCTTGAATGCACATGGATGCCACAGCTAGAGCTTGGTAAAGACCTCGCATTGGATATCGTCCCTGCAATCGTGGATCTGCCAATTTTGAAAATTTGCGGCGGTCATTGAATAATGGCCGTGCCTGTATATACATAAACCAGGAAAAAGAAAAAACAATTATTAAATAGTTTGAGCCATTACTTGCTCCTCTCACACCAACCCTCCACAACATGATAGTTAGGCAACCAGACTACAAAAACACTTAAGATACATTACCCATGTGATAAGGTTCTGTTCTCCATGGGGTCGTGTGCTATCAATAGCTTTCCGTCCAGTAATTAGCTCTAAGAAGACAACCCCAAAACTATAAACATCAGATTTCACTGTCAATTGACCAGTCATGGCATACTCAGGAGCACAATAGCCATATGTACCCATAACTCTGGTGGAAACATGTGATTTATCTCCAACAGGACCAAGTTTTGCAAGCCCAAAATCAGATAACTTAGGGTGAAATCCTTCATCCAGTAATATGTTGGAGGACTTGAAGTCCCTGTAAATAACAGGAGGGTTTGCTTTATCATGGAGGTATTCCAAACCTTTAGCTGCACCGGCTGCGATCTTCATTCTTGTGTTCCAATCTAGTGGTTCCTTCTCAGGTGGAAGATCTGCAGAAAGATTAATGACAGATTAGATCGTAATCAAGTTTACCCTTTCCTCCTATATAAAATCTGCATTTAACTGGCACTGGCAGAAAACAAGCAAAACATGTCCAAGGGAACGACAGTGCAAATATTGGGCACATCCATTTGTATCAACTTAAACCAGAATTCATCCAACAATAAGAAGTAATCATACACCATCTGTCTCAAAACTGATTGAGAAAACATATGGCAGCATGTGAATAAGCCACAAAACAGATCCATTCTGAGAATTCTATGCTCATAGCTCATTATTAGTTCCAAGAATAACTAGGATTAGTTTAACGTTATAGTTGGTTGGAAAACTGTGGTTGAGAAATTAGGGTTTGGGAAAGTATGGTGAAAAGCCACTTTTTTACTCAAAACTTAGTTTAGGCAGAAAATGTCGAATGTGTTTGGTATAGTAGTTGCCGTGCAAACCATGATTTTGCATGTCAACCACAATGCCAAACTCGGCCTTCATCTAATACAATAGAGCCGTATGCTTAAATTCCATATCAAATAACCAAGCCACAAGGTAACCTTGGGCTCATGTTGAACACCAATGAGTACAACAATTTCCTTGTCTTGCAGATAGCAAATGTCAACAGACTTGAATATCCAGATTTTCTATACAGCTAAATAAAGCTTCTAGCCTTAATTCTGAAACTACAAAGTACCACATAAAAACCCAACATGAAAACTATTCCAACAAAGAATTAGTTGTAGTTTAGCCTCACTGCTATAGTTGGAAAAAGTGCATTTAAAAAGGGTGATTAAAAATTTTGTGTTCAGTATTGCTGTGAAAAAGTGCTGTGAATAATTGAAATGTCTAAAATGATATGCATATAATAATAAAATATTAGAAATATAGAGTAATATAAGGATTTTCTATCCCAAAAGCACTTTCACCACAAAAGCACCTCTTGATTAGCTTTGTGGTTTTGGTTGCAAAACCAAGCTTTTAAACTGAAAAAGCCATATTTTTTTTGTTGTTTAGCATTGAGGTTGGATCAAAAGTAGTTTTTGAATGCAAAAGCTACTTTCAACAGTGATGCTAAACTAAGCCTTAACCAAAATTATAAGCACAAACATTAATGTTACAAGTATGTAACAGAGCAACAGCACAAACGTTTAATTACTGAAACATATTAACCTCATCAATACATATATTTAAACCCACAGCTAAGTATCTACCATACTTAATAAACATATTAAAATATATTTAAGCCTACACTTAAGTATTTACCATGTAAGATAAACAGATTAAAATTACTTGACAGTCTAAAATGAGATCAGAGGAATAAGACTACATATAGAAACGAGACAAATAAACACTTCACCACACCCTTTTCTCTTCCTTTTTGCTCTAACTTGCATCTTTCTCTACCGTACACCATAATACAAGCTCATTTGACATCTAGAATAGATTTTGACAATATAAATATCAAGAAAAACAAGAGAATAACTGAAGTAGTTTTATCTAGAAGACTTTACAAGAATATCTTGTCATCAGACAACAAGAAAATATTTTATTTGACTTTTCTTATCAATATAAGACACATATGAAAAGAAATAGTGAGTAACACAGTGTTGGCCTAAAATATTTAATTAAGTTATGTAGGGCTGTTAGAACAATAATATGCTATGACATAATAAGGGTTTACGCCTGTTGCCCTGAGGAATGGACATGCAAAAAACAAGAACTGCAAGAAGAGAAGCTCAAACCAGAGAATGAGCATAATGAATCATCCTTAATCTTCATATTGCAGTGAACACAAACACAAATGTAGATGCTTTACCATTTAACAAAATGAAATTCTCTTTGATAGCTTGAAGCACAGATAACTACAAAGCCTCACAGGCAATTATTTATCATATATTTGGCATGCTGTTGGAAGCTTACTTCAATATTACTGACTTTTCAAGACTAAAAGAAAATAATAATCCATCCAACACAATGGAATAAATTATGATTGCCTAACTTTTGACATTTGAAATGATGTAAAATTTAAAAATTTTTCTTTTGGCAAGACAATATCCAGTCAAAGATGACCAAATAATATCTTCTACCCTAATCCTTTGGCATCATATCCAGTCGAAGATACCCCTCTATTCATCTTTGGATTAACATTAATTACCTCTTCACAACAACATGGACTCCACTGAAAAATATGAGGAGCTAGAAAAACAGTGTCTACAAAAAATCTTAACAAGTTCCTTAACCTAATGCTGATATTCTACACTGACCTCAAAGTGCTAAAATTCTTGAGTTGGTTATATCTTTATCAAGATCTAAAGGTTGCAGTAGGACTAGTTGGTCTAGATAAATGAATTAATGTGAGAAAGGAATTCTATCATCAGAGCACTAGAAGTGCACCAAAATATTACCATGAAGGTGATCTTCCAAGGATCCCAAGGGCATGAATTCATAAACAAGAAGCCGCTGATCTCCATCAGCACAATAACCAATCAGGTTAACAAGATTAGGATGATGAAGAAGGCTGAGCATGAGAACCTCAACCAGAAATTCCCTGTTCCCCTGAAGACCGTTCCTATCCAACTGTTTGACAGCAACTACCTGCAAAGGCAAAAAATATATATATATATATATATATATTTTTATCTAAGAGACAGAATTGCATGAACACCCCAAGCCATACAAGATTGAGTTTGTTATTCCAACTACAAGAACCTTCAATTTGTGTAATTTCAGAAGAAAATGCAGAACTCCTCTTTCAAATATCTTATGCACATGTTTCACAATCCAGTTACAAAGGAATAAAACAATTTAGACAGAGACAAAAACTTCATTGTCCAAATTGCATGGTTATATATACCCACTATAATGGTTCTTCTCTTACAAAGATTAAGTCTAATAATTATAACTGGTTAGATATTTGTAATTATTTTGTTTGGATAAATATGTTTTAGAAAGAAATTTAATCTATTGGAATTTGAAGAGATAAAAAAGATAATTATAAAGGAAAATTAATAATATTAAAGATAAAAATATATATTTATAAATAAAATATGCAATATAGGTATCATTATATTTGTAAAAATATTTAGATATTAGTAATAATATAAAAAATAAAAAAAAATGTATTAAAGTTAAATAAAATGATATTTTATTTTTTGAGTTTTGTATTTTATGATGGGCCATATGCAGTAAAGAGATGGAGGATTTGGAGGAATTTTAAAAACCATCTCTTTATTTGGAATTTAAAGAGGAAATTTGTGCACCTAAATTTTCCTCTAGAAATTCTACCTAAATTTTGAAATTCTTATTTTTACCCAAACAAGTCATTTTTGGATTTTTGAAAATATTGATTGAAATGAAATCCCTCCTCCAAATGCCCTATCCATACACACCCTCAGACTCATGCCAGACCTCAGCTACATCATGATAGCATCAAGTAGATGATTTAGACGGAAAAACCACATTTTATAAGCAAGACAGACTCCAGGAGGATGAATGCTGCTCTTTTTTACCAGAGGGTCAAGTATGTCAAGTAGCAACAATCACATCCAAAAGGATAAAAATATACTCAGATATTAATTAGATCATCTTCAATGGACAAAAGATTATTACTTGAGAGTTATCAAATTAAAGAGCTCCATCCAAATTCAATAGTTGAAGTTTGCAACAGATGAACACTAAGATTCAACCGTATATAGCCTCTTCAGTGGGAGATAGATCAGAATGCAAATCAAGTAATTTAGAGGATTTGGAAATCCTAATGCAGAGTGCAAACCAATGATGCTAACTGGCAATTTTACCAAAATACATTCTTAACGGTGAAGGTGCTAATTTTACTAATGCTTCACTTGCTATGTTTATAAATGTTAGAATCTTAGATAAAACAGAGTATTTTCTTTCCCAACACCCAGTCTTCAATCACGAAATATCTATATAACCTCTATGAATGGTTGAATTTAAGAATTCTTTTCAGAATATAGGACAGAAGACAAGGTTTGAGCAAAACAAGCAAAGGCCTAGAAGTGGTAAATCATGGTATGACTCAGATCTTATATGCTTTCAATATTTGTTAAAACACGGCAACAATAATAAGATTACCTGACCAGCACTCTCAAGCTGCCCTTTGTACACATGTCCAAATCCACCTTCCCCTAAGAAAGACTCAGGCCTGAAATTCTTTGTTGCAGCTGCAAGCTCACGGAAAGTAAAAATTTGAGCAGCAATTTGGACACCAGGCCCATCTTTGGGACTTGGTAATTCCCTTTTGGACCCTCCACTACTTCTTGATCTAAGCCTGTCCCCTCCTGCCAACTCCATCAAAATAGATACTATTAAAGATCTTAGTACCATTTCAATACTAAGAAACAATCTAACAAGGAAAAAGAATACGATCTCAATTCTCAAGCTCAATGATTCAAGAAAAGACACAAATTTTAATAGCCAAGGCAATAATAAGCTCTATCGAGCTATAATTTTCAAATGCTGGACTTTGATTTTTATACTTAATAAGCTAATTTTAATTTTAAGAAATTGAATTACTACAAATCACAAGACATCTATCAAGGGATTTGAATTAATTACAATTTTTTCATCCTAACCAACTATCGAACAGATCAGACATGTGATCAAAATCATCACTACTCATGAGATCCTAATTCCTTTACAAAAGAGCATCAAAATCTGTAAACAATCAAAAGTTACATCTGTAAAAATTTTATGAGGATAAATCAACCATGGCATGATACGCTGGCAACAATGAGAAAATTATATAACAACAAAATAAGCATCATCATCAAAACTTAGCATAGAATAATGACCCAGATCAGATCAAGTGATAAGGTAATTAATTAAAAAAAAAAGCTAACCTGACGATAATCTGGAAATGTTAGAGGAAACAGTAGCGTGTCCTGGTTTTCGATCATCGGTTTCTTTGACAGGATTGAACTTCTCCTCTTCCCTTGAACCGAAACAAGGAAAACAACCCATAAATCGAACCAAACCCAAGAAAAATTCCTTAAATTTCTGAAATATATCAGGTTTACAATAATAAAAAAAAAAAGCTCAATCAATGTGCCGTATCCAATCCTGTTTTCTCACAAATTATATATATATATATATAAAGAAACTTTTGGGGCCATATCCTCTCTCTTCCTTTACCGATCAAATCATCCAAAACAAAGTATGAAATGAATCCAACTTCCAAATAAGAATAAGAAAGTGAAGGGCAAGAATCAAAGAAACTTTAAGGGTGTGAGTAAAGGAGAAATTTGAAGTAAAAGAGAAGTGGAAGAAGAAGAAGAAGCCGGCTTTTGCCTTCGGCTTGGTGTACACTTGAAACAAAACTTAAAGTTCCCACGAACACTCGCTGTCTTTCTGACCATAGATTATTTTATTTCAACCAAAGCTTACAACAAAAAGTTCCCCTTTCCTTTCCCTCTATTTTCTGGCAGGGAAGAATACATGTCGACCTTTTACTGTACATTTGTTGACAGCTTGATAATTAATGTTATAAAATTGTTAGTTCGAAATTTTAATTTTTATTTTATCATTTAATTTGGTATTTTAAATTAATGTTATCAGTCAATTTATTTACATAATATGATTTTTTTTATATTTTTATATAAAATATATATAAAAAAATTTAATCAATACTACATCATCAATTTAGCATTAAAAGAAAATTTTAAAAAAAAATCTAAAAATTTAAAAAATCCAAAAATTTTTCTAAAATTTTTTTAAAAATCTGAAAAGTTTTAAAATATTATAAAAAATTAAAAAATGAATTATTTTAAAAAATTTCAAGAAAAACTCAAAATTTTAATAAAAATAAAAAAAATAAAAAATTATGAAACTTTAAAAAAATTAAAAATTTTAATAAAAATAAATTTTTCTTAAAATTCATAAAAGATTCACAAAAGCTTAAAAAACTTAAAATTAAAAAGGATAAAATTTTTTGAAAAAATATGAAAGTTTTAAAAAATTTTTGAAAAGCATTTCATTTTTTTTAATTTAAAATTCTCATTTCTATATATTTTTTGAATTTTTAAGAATTTTTTTTAAATTTTCTTGGATTTTTATTAAAATTGTAAAATTTTTATATTTTATTTTTCAAAATTTTTTATTTTTTCTAGAATTTTACAGATTTTTGGAAATATTTTTAACATTTTAGAATTTTTTAAAAAATTTTACATATTTTAAAAAATTCAGAAATTTTCCAATTTTCATATTTTTATGTTTTGTGAATTTTTTGACTTTTAAGAAACCTTATTTCTATTAAATTTTCATTTTTTTTAATTTTTAAAAATTTTTTGAATTTTTTACCTTTTTATTAAAATTTTGAGATTTTTTATTTTTTTTAATTTTAATAAAATTTTTTGAATTTTTTTTATAAATTTTAAAATATTTCATATTTTTAAATATTTTATAATTTTTAAATATTTTATAATTTTTAAAATTATTTCCTATTTTGTAAAAAAAATTTAAAATTCTTTTTAAATTTTTTTAACGATAATGTAATAATTAATAATATGATATTAACTAAACGTTTTGACACATATAAATATTTTATTAGATGTTTATATCACATTAAAAAATTAATTAATAATATTAATTTGAAATAATAAATGAATGATAAAATTAAAGTTAAAATATCTAAATGCTAATTTTATTTATGTAAATATTATACTGATAAAAAATATATAATACATTAAAGAAATGAGTTCTCATACTATTACCAACTTCCTTATTTAAAAAACACTTTGCAGTTACTTTTTGCACCGAAATAAACGTCCGTGGTGTATAAAATTAAAATAAAATTTGATATTTATGTGTCAATTGACCAGCGGAGCACACAAAAAAAGAACAACATGTTTAGTCGGGGAGAATTGTAATTCCATTCCTCTGTGGCGCTTCTATTCTATTACTTGGTTATTTTGTTAGCAAAAAATAACTACTTGATGGAATATCAATTCCTTAAAAATAAGAAATAACAATCTTTACTCTCTTTTAAAAATTGTAATTGCTTGTCCATCAGAAATTGAGAATAATTTTATCTTTTTATATTTACTTAATTCCAATTTTGTTTTTATATATTTAATTATAATATTTAATTAGATAATTTATTAATATTAATTTTATAAAATTATAATTAATTAATATTCAAATATTATTAAATCCATCTTTAATATAAAATATTATTATAATAATATTATATTATTATAATATTATTAAAATAAAATTTTAAAATTAAAATATTATTAATTTAATGTTAAAATTTTAAAAATTATTAAATTAATATAAAGATTGAAATAATACTAAAAAATAATAAAATATGATAACATAAGTTAAAAATATTAAAAAATTATTAAACAAAAAAATACTAAAATATTATTAAATTAATATTTAATATTAAATTAATATTTAATATTAAATTAATATTATATATATTATATATTGTTAAATTAATATTTAGTATTAAAATATTTAGTAATCTAATGTGTAATACTTAATATTAAAATATTATAAAAATAATATTAAATATTAAAATATTGTTAAATTAAAATTTGGAATAAAATATTACAAAATATTTAATATTATTTTATTAATATTTAATATTATTAAATTTCATATTTAATATGATTAAATTTATATTTAATATTGTTCAATATTTTTTAAAATTATTAAATTAATATTACAAATATTAGCATTAAAATATTATTCAAATAATATTAAAGTTTTAAAAATTAATTATTTAATATTTAATAAGAAATAAAATTAAAATTTTATAAATTGAATTATTTAATGTTAAGATATTATTAAATTAAAATTTCATATTAAAATATTTAATATTATTTAATTGAATATTTAGCATGATTAAATTATAATATTTAATATTAAAATATAGTTAATATTATTAAATTACTATTTAATAATATTGAATTAACATTGAATATATTAAATTATTATTAATATTTTATTCATTTTATTAATTAATAATTTTGATAATAAATTGCAAGCGTCTATCCATGAGCTTTGAACTAATTAAACATATTAATATTAACTTCTATTTTCACATAATACCAATTTCATTCTCTCTCTTATTAGATGTTTATGTTGTAGGCACCTATTTTGTTCAAAAAACCAAATTTTGTGTTGAATAAATTCTAACCGATTCTCGATTTCATTTGAGTCCAATGAAATACATTAATTGGATTCATCGGATTATTTTTCGTACTAGATTATTTTAAATTTCATTAAAAATTTAAATTTTTATTTATTATTATTATATATTTTATTATTATTTCTTTTTTCTACCATTTTTTCCCTTCCTTGATTTTTCTTCCTTTCTTCTCATAATCATAATGCATTTAATGTACTGAAAATCTCCACTAAAATTTTCAACCTCTCTAACAACCTCCTTGCTTGACTTTTGCCCTGAGATTTTAGCAATGTTGACATACCTCAAAAAGTCTACAGTAATCCTAGAAAATTTGATATTCTGATATCTAAATTAACTCTATAAATAAAGCCAATTCATAAAGATAAAATAGGACATAAGGAACATTTTTTGGGATTAGGAGAAATTGTTGCAAAGACACAACAATCACACACACAAGCAACTCAAAAACTAAAAAATTTTCTTAGTATCCACATCCCTTTTCAGGGAACTAGTAGTTAAAAAAAACTCTACTTGAAAATAAAAACCTTGATCTAGGAGGTTTGAGATTTTTTTTTGGCAAAACTATTTGAAAAATTGTGGTGGGGGCTCGAAATGAGTGTTTTGGGATTTTTTAGGAAATTTTGAAAAATTTTTAGGGGTGGTCAGATTCTAGGAAAAGTTTAAATTTTTTTGTGACTATTGAATTTTTCAACCATTAAAATCTGCCAGAAACTGGAAATTGATTGAATTTTTTGACAATGTTTGAAGTTTTTGGTGACGACACGATGATGATCGACCAGAAATTGGGATTACGCAATGGCCAGCAAAGGGTTTTTGGTTTTAAAGAGAGAGGGTATAGGAGAAAAGAGAGAGAAAGAGAGAAAAAAACTAAAAAAGGGCCTTAAATAGGCTAGCCAATATCATAACATATAGATTCGTAGACCTACCACTAGATATATATTAGAAGAGTCACTACCAATCTTTTTTGTTTATGTGTGATTGGCCACTTGATCGAATTTGTCCCATTTAAATAAGAGTTCCAAAATTGACTTAGGTATTTTTAAATAGTAGATTTTGATCCACGAAACCAACTTTTAGGTTCAGGAGTATGGTTACGTCTGAGAAAGGTTATAGCACATGCATGCGTCATCCAAAGAATTGTACCAATTTGATTTCAAATCATCCAAGCTTTAAACATGTTTGTAATTTATCAAAATATTTCATATTGAAAATTAATCTTAAAATTACCATTATAGTTTCGTAGCAATTTAAGATAATTCTCTTATCTCAAGAGTATTTATGGAGACTAGTGTCCCACCCTGAAGAGGCTCCGTCATCGAATTTATTAACGTATTTTATTTTTAAAAAATTAGTAAAGCCCTTTAATAGTTTAGTAGGATTTACTTTGAGGTAGATCTTCCAATAGTTTGGTGAGATTTTATTTGAAAGATATTCATAAAATTTTATTTTTTTGAGAAAATTCATTAAATCCTCCAATAGTTTAGTAAGATTTAACTTAAGAAGCAATCTTCCAATAGTTTGGTAAGATAAAATACAAAAATTAATTTTCTTTTTGAAATTGATTTATGAAATTTCCTAATAGTTTGTTAGATTTCATAAAATTTAAATTCATGAAAATCCTTCAATAGTTTGGTGGGATTCATGAATTTATTTGAAAAATTTTTTTTTTTGTTTTTTTCATTGTTCTTCAAAAATAAAATAATAAAAGGAATTTTCATAAAATATTTAATAAATAATAAATTGCTCATCAAAAAAATCAACAAAATAAAATAAATAATAAAAATAAAATATAAAACTTAAAATATAAAATGAAAAAAATAAAAATAAAAAAACCTATGATCGGGTTGGGTTGTGCATGGTAAAACATGAGAATTTTGGTGCTTCAAATTTTAGGTTTTCTTCAAAAGTGTTTGAATATGCCTCTCTTTCTAAAATGGTTATTCTTCTGTTTTCTCTCTAACTGATTTCTAAAAATTGATGAATAAATCTCAAAAGCCGATACAAAATTTCTAGAAACTCAACAAATTGTCTAGAAAATTAAACCTAGAAATCCCTACAATGCAAAACCCTATAAAAATTCAAACACAAAAACACAAAATCTTAATTCTAGAAAATCTAAACAAATCAAATCTAGAACCTAAACCTATTGGTTGCTAAACAAATTTATCTTTTTTCTCTCAAGAGTTTCTGCATAATCCTTTTTTTTTTAATGATTCCTTATTCTGCCGAATGATTCCACAATTGTTTTCCTTTTTTTTTTTTTTCTAATTGCTTGATTGCAAGCTCTCTCTCAATGGCTAGAAACCCTTAATTCCCATAAA